CCATTACATCTAATTCAATCAATGTGCAAAGAAAGTATTTTAGTATCCATTCCCAATGAAGAGTACCAGACACTTACCTCTGTAAAAACATCATAATCCCCTTTCTCGCCGACATGTGTTTATTTGCCAAACGCTGTACAGTATACGAATCGTAATCGAATGAGAGGGTATGTTTTCAGTGCAGTGAGAGTGTTGAGGATGAAAGACACGTTCTGTTGTATTGCCCTATGTATGATGATTTGCGTGAAAGTTTATATAATATGAAAATGTCTGTTTTAGCTATCCCAACTTCTTAGATCTCTGTGATGATGATAAATTAGTTTTACTTTTTAAACACCATGTATATTTCAGTGCCAAAACCTGCTTTTATATCTTGCAAAGAAGAAAACATATTATAGATTTTATACTGTATATAACTATATCATTATTTATTTTAGTGTTTATAATGCATTAACACATAAGTCTCTCATAACCCTTAAAGGGGGGCTCACTTATATGTTATATTTTATATATATATATGTATATGTGAGGTGATACTGAAATAAAATATCTGTCTGTCTGTCCAACAGTATTACCCGACTGTAAAGAATCGATTGGCGCCATTCAGCTTGGCTCTTTCTTCCCATAATGAGGTATCTGTATTGATCTTAACCCGGCGGATGGAAAACCGATCTCTGACAGTCTTAGACTGTGATGCATCTCCTGGCATGACCATGTGTTATCATATTTCAAACGTCAAACAATAGGAGGATATACACTGTCAGTAACAGACACTCAATGTCAATCAACTCAGTCAACGTGGTCAAGATCGTGTTCTTCCACTCGCTGGCACTTTTCCTTAACTCAGGTAGGTGATTTCGTACTCACAATTTCATACAAATGCTTTGTATACTCTTGCCGTTCCAGAAGCATTTCATCATTGATGTGAATTTTAGCATCGTCTTGATTATGTTCGTGGTCGTGGGTTTCATCAAAATGGTCTGCATTAATTGAGGCGTTCTTCCTGCATCCTCAGCTTGAAGTCTCATCACTGAATTAGTCACACTGTGTTAACCAAAACTCAACTTAGTGCAGGGGCTTGTGTAATTCCGTGGAATTACATGTTAATTGTGGTAACCAATACTAATTGTAATCACAATTGTGTGGTTCCATTTTTTCTGCTAGCTATAAGTGTCATTGTGGGGGTGATTGAATATCAGTTCCCAAAATTGCTTGCGACACCATTTCGAGAGAAAACATATTTTCATAAACTTATCACAACATAGTCGTGTAGCATATCAAAAGGCAGCTTATGATGCATGGTATAGAAATAACCATATAATATGCTTCTAATTTGAATTTGGTGACATAAAATATGACATAATCATATAAATTAATGAAATATTGTCTTTCCTTCATTGGACACCAACATTGTAAGTATTGGCCTATATTAATGGAAACCATTTATTCAATTAATGTATTCTCCCATTTCATAATATATACCACCATGACACACATGTGTGGTAATAATAGTATCCAGGTAAGGTTAATGTGACTATCAAATAGTCTTGCACTAGTGTTAAATCAGGCCTACCAGTGGAGTCAGAATTGACATACTGACACTCATGTCTTGGTAATTAAATGACATAAAGCCAGATCTGCAGTCAATATTAACTTAATGTATTAATACAGGAGTGACAAATTATATCATAGTAAACAGATAACTACATATTACAAGTGGCGTATGCAAGTGCAATATATAATGTGTATTAGTATATTTATTTTAACTTTCACAAGGATTTAGTATTGTTAAGTAACTCGCATTGTCAATCAATCCGTCATTAACCAACAAGAACAAAATATACTGTTGAAATACAAGCTTCGCAATTATTTGACACACAAACACAAGCATGAATTCTACGCATATTTTTTCTTAATTTGGAAACTAGAAGGGCCCTCGTTAGAGAACATGCCTCCGCTTGCACAGCAATCTCCATTCACTATTGCATTTGTAAAGTACTACTGTGTACTTGTACTTCAATGTATACTTATTTTCACCAAACAGTACGCAGTTAGCCCCTGCGTCATATCTAACATAACCACCAAGATTCACTCAATTCCATCCATAACTTTTTGAGATATTATTCATATTCCCATTTACTTCAAAGTACCTCTGTGTACATGTATTTTAACATACACTCTTTAATAAAAGAAACGAAAAATAAAATTTGAAAATTATGATCGAGAGTTTGTACGCATATGTCAAGTTAAGCAGGTTTTGAGGGTTGAGTATTGTTATTGGTGTGGTTTAGAAGAACATGCGTGAGCGAATGCAACCATAAACGATTTTGAATGGTTTTATCGATCATGATTGTCATGATGAGCTTGACTGTTATGGAACACAACCAAAAGCCGCAATTGTTGCTTTTCACGTGCAAAGTATGAGTACAACCTATGACTATAAAAGAACCAAATGCATCTGGCAAATTCATCCAAGACCCTTGCAAATACTGGATGAGAAAATCGGACGTCTCAACGGTGCCCACTGAAATATTGCCATTGGACGATTACAAACTGGCGAATCAAAGAGTGCCGTGGCAAGGACCTTCAACGTTCATCCCAGCACATTAACTTGTTTGTGGGACCGTTTTGTGCATTCCAGTTTGACAAATGCGAGTCACCACACCCGTCCAAGATCGCTACATCCGGGTAACCCCGATCGTTCCGCCCGGGACACAGTACAAGAACGGTTTGGAGCCTGGAGAATCTCCGACCAGACAATCAGGAACCGTCTCCGAGAGGCAGGTATGCGTGCCAGACGTACACATGTTGCCCCCCTCTCTGATACGATTACTTCTACGTCCGCGAGTCAGGTGGTGTAACACGGTGCAGCCATGGCACCTTGGAAACTAGAGGCACATATGGTTCAGGTTGAATCGCTGTATTTCCTCAAGCGATGCGACGGAAGACAACGTGTCTACAGACGACGCAATGGATGTTTTGCACCAAACTGCATCAGGCAAGTGGACAGATTTGGTGGAGATAGCGTCATGGTGTGAGGAACCATCTCATACGTCTGCACATTGGAATTGGTGCTCGTCCAAAGCAATCTAACGGCCGCTCGATATATCGACCAGATCCTCTGTCCTCACGCGCATCGCCTTCTCGATCGCCAGAGGGATCTGTTCCAACAGGACAACGCCAGACCTCACACAGCACGTGCTACGGTGGATTACCTGGCCAATAGCAATATCAATGCCCTCCCCTGGCCCTCCAGATCCCCGGATCTGAAACCAATTGATAATTATCTGTGGGATCAGATCGATAAACGTGCCATTGCCCCTTAAACAGTTGTTCAACATGCTGCAGGAGGAATGGAGGATTCAACAACGAAACATCCAACAACTGATTCGATCTGTGTCAAGGAGAAAGAGGTGGTCATACAAGGTAGTAACGTCAACGCCACCTCGTGGACAGCAGTAATGGCTATGATGACTGTCATTCTTGTGAAATGTGCACGAGATACCAATGTATTGCACTATATAAGTTCAATGTTGTACCATTTATTTTCGTTGATTTATATATAATTGAATAAGATCAAATTTTTCAATGATATTTTGCTTTTGAGTTTCTGTTGTTGTGTTTCTTAAGAGTATAATTTCTTCAACATCTAATTGATTTGCTCTGGGAACATACCCAAGAAATCCAGTAAGTTTCATTGAAATCCATCTGGTAGGTTTTGAGTAAAGTTGCTGACACATTAATACACACACAAACAGGGTTGAATACATACCCTCTGCAACAAACCTTCGGTTTTTGCAGAGGCAATTATGGTCATAGTATGTATTACATATATTATTGAGATTCCTGATATATAATGGTAGTTGTAAAACACCAATCACAAGGTACATTTTGATATGCTTCATGTCTATGTTGTGATAGGTTTATAAAAATATGTTTTTCTCACATTGGTGTAGCTCGAATATGGGTACCGATGTTCAGTTACCTCAGAATGATATAATCAGAAGAAATGGAACCATGTTTTTTTTCTGAATCCATATGCAATACTGATTACAATTATCAGTGGTTCTAAAAATAGTTTCATTTGATTAAAATCAATGGTTCAACCAAATAATCACCCTTGGTCTGAAAGAGTCACTTCCAGCACGTTGTTCCCCGTTTTCCAAGCTCACACAACCAACTGTGATAAACAACTTTGACACTTTCTCTTTGTCTCCTCCAATGTCAAATTGGCCACTTGTGGCTCTTACAAGAGGGTTAAATTTTAACTATTCAACCCAAAAAGCAAAACCTTTCTGTTTATTGAATGCTCATGAGTTTTCCAAATTTATCTTTGCTTGTACTCCAGGCTGTAATGACATTTAAACATGTCGAAATATATTCAACATATAGCAAAGATGCTACAATTCTGAATAAGGATATACAGTTCCAGAATTTTAGAATTTAGATACACATATTCAGAGATGGCACCGAAGGCTGGAGGTATTCGAATATTGCTCGACATGAAAGGAAAGCTGACTATTGGAAGTTGAAATCATTCCCTTTGTCGCACAGCCTAGTGGAGAGATTTTGTCACTCTGAATCTTTATGCATAGATCTAAATATGAAATAGCTGAGGCGGTCTCGCTAATCTTCTTAATCGAATTTAGGTGGATGGGAATGGTTATTTAATCGTTATTTAGATATATTAGATCACCTATAAACCTGAAGCTTAAGTTAAACTGCTTGGCCAAATTATTTGGTTTTGATTGTGCCAGAAGTTCTGATTCATATGCATAAAGAAACAGATCTGAAAAGAGGGGGGCACAACTGGTGCAATAAGGGGATGCCTACTTCTTGTCGAAATGTTTCACCCCCAGATTTTATAAAGATGTTAGCATATATAACATTAAAAAATGTTCATCTAACCTCGAAATATTTGCATACAGAGCCCAAGCCGGTTAGTCGTGAACGTGCAATTGGCATACTCCAGGCTGACCAGTCAACTGAGGCTGTTGCAGGTGCTATGAGATACAGTTGACAGATATTTCACCACCTGAGGACACGTGTTCATCAAACAGGTAAGACATCTGGCCGCCCCAGCTCAGGACGTCCACGTGTGACGTCACATGCTAAGGGCAATCAAATTCGCTTGTGGGGTGCCCATCTTCGTGCTCGACGTCTTTGTGGTGGACCGATTCTGGCACTAAACCAAAATGAACGTCTAGGCTGGGCTCAGTTGCAACTGCCCTAAAACCAGAGACTACCAAATAGGGTTATGTTTAGCGACGAATCGCGCTTTACCCTACGATTTTCCGACTGAATAGTGCGAGTGTGGCGTCGGAGTGGTAAACGTCACGCCCAGTGCTGCGAACAGGAAGTTGATAGATTTCATAGCGGTAGCGTAATAGTTTGGGGAACTTGTGCTCCCGTTTTCTCGTATTTCAATGGAAGCGCAATTCAGTGGAATATCATGACTAGGTCCTTGTCCTGGACGTGGTGCTATTCTTTACTGTTCATGGTCTAGACATCCAATTCCAACAAGACAATGCGACACCTCACACAGCTGTTTTGACACACTTTATTGCGGGTATTGATTTCATGGAGCGGCCATCGAGATAACCTTATATCAATCCCATCGAACAGGTATAGCATGCTCTTGGAAGAAGACTTAGGGTTTTAAGGGCACAATCCCAGAATGTTTAAGAGCTGGGTGACATGTTGGTACAGCAATGGCGCAGGTTGCCTAATGCTGTGTTCACGGGTATTAGGCAGTCAATGTGACAACGTTGCCTTGCTAGGGTAAATTGACTTTAGGGTAGCCTAGTGTTTAAAGTGTTCACTCGTCACACCGAACGCTCGTGTTCGATTCCCCACATGGGTACAATGTGTGAAGCCCATTTCTGGTGTCCCCATCCGTGATATTGTTGGAATGTTGCTAAAAACGGCGTAAAACCATACTGACTGACTGACTGACTGTACAGTACAGTACAGATGTCTAATCTCTGTGAAATCAAAGAGAGGAGGGTGCACCAAGCTCATGTTAATGCCCAATTCTGTTTTAGTGAACGCTCTTTGCGTTCATAAACCAGATCTATTACTATTTAGCCTTGCCTTGCCGACATTGCATCCCTCCTCTCATACGTTTTCCTGTTATCAATACACGTGTCTGCCACAGATGGATCATCTTTGGTGTCATATATTGATATATAGGCAGCGAAAAAAAGGCTTGAAAAAAAATGCAAAACAAATAACCCGAGAATGATTATCATAATGATATTCACGAGTAGAAAGTCTCACCACAGCCTTAAGTCTTTTTTGAAAGTTTTAAAGAACTATTTATTTAAAGTGAGGTAAAACATGATCAAACGAATGGTATTTGGTAGTTTATGATCCACTTGAACAGACTACCACGTTGACAGGTTTAAGTTCATTACTTTTCCTCAAGCAAATGTTTGAGAGAAAAATCAGAACGTGCTCTTTGGAGTGGAAGGGATTATATTAGCTCATCCAACATTGCTTAAGTGAGTTATTTTATCTGACTTTTCTACAGCTTGATGGATTAATTGTGTTATGAGAGTGTGTTTTTTGTAATTTGTAATATCACATTGATTAAGTGATAAATATTATGGGTCACATTGTTTGAAGTTTTGAGTGTGGGTTTTGGCTCGCATCTCGCATCATATGTGTTCATTGGCAATAGTTGTTTTAGCAGTGTGCCTTTTTGATAGCACTTCACAGTTGCGTCCCTTGGCTGGCTTTATTTTGTTTTGACTTCCGGTCGTATGTTCGAAAAATCCCGTAACGTTCTGAGAGAATAATGATGGAGCCAAGCTTTGCTAGAATGCTCGAGAACTGTGTAAAAGCTATATAAAGTCACATGACTGGAGTTAGACACATCTGTCTGCCACCGTCAAGTTGTTCAACATTCAAGACGACCGTGCTTGCCTATTCGTCTACAACAATCTCAGTCAGTATATCTGTTCTCACTATAAATGTCAAAACTCTGGCGAGTTAATAGTTTATATTTGTGACCCAATATTTTAGATTTGTGACTCAATTGCATTGTACTAGATATCTGCATTGTCATTCATTGTAGCTTGCCCATTGTTTGCTCAATATATTATTGAATATTTTAGACTTGTCTGTGTTTAATTTGCTGGTTCAAAGGGAACTCTTAAACCTTTTGTCACGGCATATTATTTACCGTAACAATTGCACATGTGTTGTTACAGCTCAACATTCAAGATCTGGGTCTTCATCTACCCATGCTTGTTTCAAGAGACAAATAACAGGAACAGATTGTCAGGTTCGTGGACTGGCTTGAAACATGGAAACATATTCCAAATGGACAATTCGATGCTTATGATGTTATTCACTAGATTGTCTGATGCAGACTCATTGTCGCGTACATGGAGAATAGCTGAGTTCAGCGTTAAACAATAAACAAAACGGTATCTTCTTTTGTGCAATCCTTGTTGCAGTGACACTTGACTATTTGATAAAGTTCATGTCCGAAAGTGCTTTGTGTATAATTGATTGCATTTTATCAGTTTCAGGCGTATCTGAGAGACTTCTTCCTCATAAGCATAAGCAAGTGGAGAGACTGTCTTGACGATCGGATTACTACAGAACTGAAGCACCTGTGACCATATCCATTCTAGACTTTGCCATTGATGCCATGTGAGCAAACTGAGACGCTGTTTTCTGGGAAATCTGGGTAATCATTAACCGATATATTGATCAACATCGACATAATGTGAGCCCACAAACTTTGAACAAGCTGAATCAAATTTCCATGCCAAGATCAGCATCATACCAACAATGAACACTTCAACAATCGTTCCTGACAATGACCAAAATATGACATATGTATGCATCAGCTGCAAAAACGGTTCTCGTTGGAAATCTGTAATGCTGGTACAAATTCTGATTGGTGCCTGGGTGATCCTAGAGAATGTCCTCACAATAGTGACGCTGGCAAAATGTCGACGGATTAAGACCTTCCTTCGTCTTCTGCTCATCAATCAGTCTGTGTCAGACACAATGGTGGGATTCTTCTTTACGTACCATTCTGTTGCTGTCTACAACCATTTGCACAACCCTACTGAATGCATAATCAGATGCAGTGTCTTAGCCCTTTCGTCAAGTGTGTCTCTTGTTACTATCACCGTTCTATCCATGGAAAGAATTATCGCTGTGAAGTTCCCTTCCCGTCACTACAAACTCGATGAAACGAGAGTCATGACCTCAATCGGCGTGGTCACGTGGCTATTTCCTGTTTGTGTAGTGTCGTCTGCTTACAGTTTCGCCGACACAAACATCCAAGAGTGCAACTTCCTGCTTCTTGCTACTTCTAAGAGTCTCTTCGTGTTTGCTACGACAAGCCTTCCCTGTATCATCCTCGTCTTTCTCTGCAATGTTTACATGTTCTTTGTTGCCAGGCAACAGATCAGAAAAATCATCCCGAACTTCGTGGGTAGAGAGAGATACATCAACGAGATAAATATGAATATGAAGGCAATGTTGACAAGTGCAAGCGTCGTTGTCCCATTTCTCATACTAAATACTCCACAATATCTCTTCTTCCTGACTGTGGCAGTACGCCCGAACTTACGGTATTTACGCTCCTCTATAACTACCCTGAACATATTATTTTCTCTGTTGGTGCTCAACAGTGTGATCAACCCTATCATCTATGCATTTCGAGTTGATGGAATTCGAGAAACGTTCATCAAGTATATCTGTCGTAAAACGCCCTCCCCCCTTCCCCAAGCCATAACCAGCTAAAAGCACCCACTCGATCAAGTTGTGATGGAATCAATGGAAATACAATAAAAGGTTGGATCATCCTACTGATATTTTCCATGTCGACACAGACTTAATCGTGTTGGCACACTAAGACCACGCTGAAGGTTAAAAAAGTGGTACAATTTGCTTATTTTGGGAGGGTTTATCTTCGATCTATCAGCATCTGTGCTCTCTGACTGTCACCATACAGTAACATGTCTATCCCACAATTATGAGCATGACCACTCTAGAGGCTTTGACACAGTTATTACATACAATATACAGTATATCAAATACAATAAACAGTATATCACATACAATATACAGTATATCACATACAATATACAGTATATCACATGCAGTATACAGTATATCACATGCAGTATACAGTATAGCACATGCAGTATACAGTATATCACATACAATATACAGTATATCACAGGCAGTATACAGTATACCACATACAATATACAGTATATCACATACAATATACAGTATATCACATGCAGTATACAGTATGTCACATGCAGTTTACAGTATATCACATACAATATACAGTATATCACATGGAGTATACAGTATATCACATGCAGTATACAGTACATCACATGCAGTATACTGTGTATCACATGCAGTATACAGTATATCACGTGCAGTATACAGTATATCACATGCAGTATACAGTATATCACATGCAGTTTACAGTGTATCACAGGCAGTATACGCCAGGCGATTGGTTAAAAAACACATATTCTCCAACTTTCCCCTTTACACACACATCTTCTGGAATGTATTGATCAGCTGTTTGACCGTTACCTTGGTGAGGGGTGCGAGAGACTAGCCAAACTCTTGAACTTATGGGGCTGCTGCTTTATGCTGTGCTTTCAGTGGAAACCAGCATGAGGAGCCAGCTTGAAACTGGGAAGAGAGCACTAAGTACCTTGTGAAACCCTCATGATAACACGTTGTGGACCTGCAGACGTGTTGTCAATTGGACAAGTATTCATCAACAACAGGCAGCATATCCAACAACATGCAAGCATCTCTGAGGCGGACATATTGGTGGAGCTTCGATTTCCGGTACCTATCACAGAGCACTAGCCACAAAGATGAAGAGGTCAGCCAACGCCAAGTGATTTCTGCAATGTTCGTCTCGGTCCACAACAACAACAGACACACCGACAGTTACAATACACAACAACCTGCATTTTGTGATTCATCTCTTCTCGAGAGTGTATTTATTCTGTGTGATCTGTGCTTATCATTGTAATTGTCTCCATCGTCCTCCTCATTCGGAGACACTGTGACCACCTCGGTGACAAACACCCCCACCGTTCGTTGTGAATGGAAACTAAACAGGAAAGAAGAAGAACGTGGAACGTCTTCACCAACCACAGCAACCACTAAGAACATCAGCGACCACGTCATTGTCTCCCAGGTTTCCTCTCTCGGCACTGACCTGCTGTATGTCTAGAGTATTATCTTGAGGCACATTCCCAAAGATAATTGAGACATTTTTTTCTGAAACTGTTTTTAAATTCTGGGAACAATTGGTTATTTCATTCATTGGAAAGATTGGTAAGAAATACCAAAATATCCATTATCAGTTCCTGAAACATTCACCCAATGCATGTCTTGAAACACTTCTGAACATTTTTTATCATATTTGGACAACGGGCCACTTTCCTCCTTCTTGGCGTCAAGCCAGTGTTGTACCAATACCTACGCCTGGCCGAGTCAATACAGATCCATCTAACTATAGACAAATTTCTTTAACTAGTTGCGTTTGTAAAACTATGGAACGCGTGGTCAATAATAGATTAGTGTGGTTTCTAGAAAACAATGATCCTATTACTAACATTCAATGTGGTTTTCAAAAAAAAAAGTACTGTTGACCATTAGATTCGATTGGCTTCATTCATTAAAAATTCCATTGTATAATCACGGTCTGACAGTATTGTTTTGAGGGGGTTTCATCACAAGGGATCAATATCTCAAATGAAGGATATTTCTAATGGCATTAATTTCATTTTAATCATTGGCTTTTTAAAGGAAATTGATTTAATTGATAAATTTTGATGTATGTGTAGCTAAATGTTTTATTAATCGGCAGAAAATAATTATTAACTAAGATTGTTCGTGGCAATACCCACGACGGGGGTTGAAGTATCGTAAAATTATTTTACCCCTGAGAGGGTATGTAAGTCCATGTCATTTAAGGTATTTTTTATATCTACCAGATTTCAATCGTAGTATCTATATGTTATTTATTTTATAGCTAGATTTGTCGACAATTGATGACATCTGATGCGATGGTGTAAATCCAGCTAGGGTCCATGCAAGAAGCAAATGTGCTGTAAGTCCCCATGGTCCCTTGTATGGTGATCAACTTTCAGCTGTTGGTAATTTATAGCCTGTTTTATATTGTTTTGTCATTTATAGTTAAATGTTTTTGACTTAATTACTAGTTTTACATTTATATATGTGATATTATAGTTTACTGTCCTTGTCCTTTACCTTTATCTATTATGAATTATAACTTGTTTTTAGTCATGATATGGCTGAAATATCGCCGATATGACTTGAACTCGCTCACTGTTTCCGTTGTACTTCTATTAGTTCAAACACATAGGGACCTGTGAAGATCCGATCCATGCTTGACCAGTTCTGATTGCATGTAGCGTTGCTTGACAGGTATGGCAGCTTGCATCCTGAGGCGATAAGTGATATTATAGGCACGCAAGTAGAGTTAGTCAAAGTAAAATAAAGTCAAATATACATTTCGAATTTTATCAAAAACTAAAAGAAAAATATACCAATTTTGACACTGTTATAGTATCCCAATTGTGGAGATCGATGCGCATGATGTTAATCACTGGATTGTCTGGTCCAAACTCGATTATTTACAGGTGAAAGACATATGGCTGGAATATTGCTGAGTGTGGCGTTTAACAACAAACAAAACGCACATACATCAAGCATGAACAATAAAAGAAAATACTTGCCTTGGTTCACCATCATACAGTTGGTAGAATCTAGCAGTTGCACCCTAACCGATGCCAAATATTGGGAACAATCATAAACAGATTATTGTTTGTATCTTTATTTCATTGATTGTAATATCATTGATTATATGTTTATCAGTGTAATTAATAGAATGCAATATCATTTATTATATGTCTATCAGTGTAATTAATAGATTATATGTCTGTCAGTGTAATTAATAGAATGTAATATCATTGATTATATGTCTGTCAGTGTAATTAATAGAATGTAATATCATTGATTATATGTCTGTCAGTGTAATTAATAGAATGTAATATCATTGATTATATATTGTCAGTGTAGTTAATAGAATGTAATATCATTGATTATATGTATGACAGTGTAGTTAATAGAATGTAATATCATTGATTATATATTGTCAGTGTAGTTCAAAGAATGTAATATCATTGATTATTTGTATGACAGTGTAGTTAATAGAATGTAATATCATTGATTATATATTGTCAGTGTAGTTAATAGAATGTAATATCATTGATTATATGTATGACAGTGTAGTTAATAGAATGTAATATCATTGATTATATGTCTGTCAGTGTAATTAATAGAATGTAATATCATTGATTATATATTGTCAGTGTAGTTAATAGAATGTAATATCATTGATTATATGTATGACAGTGTAGTTAATAGAATGTAATATCATTGATTATATGTATGACAGTGTAGTTAATAGAATGTAATATCATTGATTATATATTGTCAGTGTAGTTCAAAGAATGTAATATCATTGATTATTTGTATGACAGTGTAGTTAATAGAATGTAATATCATTGATTATATATTGTCAGTGTAGTTAATAGAATGTAATATCATTGATTATATGTATGACAGTGTAGTTAAAAGAATGTAATATCATTGATTATATATTGTCAGTGTAGTTAATAGATGTATAATACGTTACTGCTTAAAAAGTTGTCCACAGCATAACACTGAACATCACTTTATATCTGATTCATGTCCATCTTTATCAATGGTTGCTGAACGCCATAAACGGTACCTCATTCACTACCCTTATTGAGGACATGAGGTCATTCCTTTGTCACGATCGGATCATATAACAAATGCAGTACACCGTGACTGAGTGGGTTGGTAAGTGAGTGAGTGATGTTTTATGCCTCTTTTAGCAATATTACAGCAATATCTGAAATGGGCTTCACACAATGAACCCATGTAGGGAATCGAACTCAGGTTTTCGGTGTGACAAGCAAACGATTTAACCACTTGGTTACCCCACCGCCCTAATGCAGTATACAGTATATTAAGTGCAATATAAAGTGTAATACATACGGTGTCTCGAGTTCAATGAGCCCCGGGAGAACACTGCATTATGATGATCCGGACGACCCCAGCACTAGAGGCATGTGGGTTTTGGACGAAGTACTATATAGTCTTGACATATTACCTTTTAGGAATAGAACAAACATTGTTAGTACGAAACCAGTTGGAAACTGGGAGCTGAGCTTAGTGCTCCGTGTGAAAACCTCGCAATAAAACGTTGTGGACCAGCAGACAGACTTGTGTTGTCAATATCCTCACCTGATATGTATGTAACCTCTTATGATAATTGAAATGTTTTTTTCTTTGCTTTTATGTATTATCATAATTATCCTACGACCTTTCCGTAACATCGAATATTTTATATATTTTATCATTTTGAAATATTACAGTGGGCAAAAAATTGTTCTTCTTATACCTCTTCCTTTCTTTAATCTACTGCCTGGACAACATCATTTGAAGGTTGACGTATTCCCCCTGCAGATTACTTAATCATACTTTCATTTGCAATCTGTTTTCAAATTTAACAATATAATGTGAGGCACTGTTGCGTTTTCGATTTCAAATTCAAATCAGTGTTGCAGATTTTACGAGTAATCTGACACATGCATCACCTCCAACCCAACCTGTAAAGTCCCAGTTAGAATTGATCTTCAGTA